ACTTTGTAGGCTCACATATTATGCGGGCACCCAACACCTCTAGCCGGTGGAAAATCAAAGAGCGATCAATGCGTGCCTCTAGTGATGTCCACTGTGTTTACCTATTTTCTAAGAAGATTGCCTTTTGAAAGTGCAATTCAAAGTATTTTTTATACTTTTATGCTTTATTGGTTGGATTGGATTCTCAGAATAGAATTCTTTCAATTGTTTTTCAGGTTTACTGTCCTTATATTTCACATTTTATTAGAGACTATAGGAATCGAAAAAGCCTTTGACATGGTTGCTATGATACTTACTTACTCTTATTTTTCGGAATAGGTATTTAACCATAAATGAGAGTCAGGTACGTAAAAAATAGAACGAAACTAGCATAAATTAAGGCTTTTGATTAGTTTTTATAATATTTGGACCAAGCCAAGGACAGATTTACTGAGACTGAATCGAGTTTACAATAGGGCAGTTATTCTGGGACGGTTATGAGTGCCCTGAAAAAGCTTTCAAAACTTATGAAGCATTCGAATTTTGAGTGTTATTTGTAATTATCATTCAAGTATGGCTGTCAATCGAAGCACTAATTTGGGGCTTTCCAGGTATCGATAATGCCAGATTATCGGTGACGTCACTATCCAACAGGAGTCCGATTCGGCCCATTAACAGGGTCGGGCGATGTTTGCGTAATCCAACCGCCGCTTTGTCCGTGGCCCGACAGACTTTGTGCCGCCTGCTAGGACAACGGCCTAGAGGGTCCATGGTGGTTTGGCTGGGTAATTAAATATTAATGATTCATGCTTACAGAATTTGCTGCAGTGAAAAGATGTTGTTTCCGATTTAATCTACTTTAAAAAAATCACATTTTACCATGTAGGGATTACCTTTATAATATCAGACGCATAACTAAATATGGTGGCGCTTATGGCCTGATGACAGGGGCAATGGAACTCTTTTAAAAAAAGATCGAGTCATTTGGATCGTGATGGCTTTGCTAGGTCAGAAAATTATTTGCATTCTGTGTTAGGATGTCTTTCGTTTTTACCTATAATAACTTTGCATTTAAGTATAACTTCTGCAGGACTTTGTCCTGCTGTACAAAGGTACTGTTTGCAGATGACCGAGTTTGCTACCAACAATCAAGTGTTAGGTGGAAGTTACTAGTTTTTAATCTTGAAATTTTTACAGCCCATAGCGAAGTGCTCGAAAGCGCTTGAAATTCCGAGCCTTTGATTTACGTGGATGAACGAAGCGGTGGGATTACACACGGGTTTGTTCAAGTCCGACTGCGGCATCGATCGGCTTTGTATCGATGCCGAAGTGCCAAACCGCACTACAAATAACGGCGGTTAACACCACCCGAAAAACAATTTGTTTGGTTTCTGAATAAGGCGTTGAGTCAGCTACAAAAATAATATTGTTACTTTGAATAGCTTCACGTTCTTTGAATCATACATTAGTGTTTTAATCTGAAAAATTCATTGTGAAATCGATGCCCCACTTGACACCTCTCTATGCTATCTTGTGGTTAACTATGGCCGGGTTGTTCCTTAATTGGGTAGGCAGGACTGACTTACGTTATGTCTGTACGTGGTCTCCATTCGAGAACAGTTACAGTGGATGTTAGCCTATTGCGTAACGTTACTTTTTGGAAGGTCCTTTAGTTACTCATTAAAATCACATAAATTATAGATTTAAGATTATAATTTTTGCAATAAAGCACATAAATTATAACTGCCTTTAAGATGCTACTATGTTTAGGTTGATATGCTATCGTATGTACACTATTTACCTGTATAAGTGAAGCAGTTGTTAATGTAGCTCTTATTTTGCATGGAACAAGAGTTGTCTGAAACAGTCAGTATGTTTAGTCTCATATGGCGGACGTACTATTTACTAAACAGAAAAAAAAACTGAAGCGTGCCCTTGCCAAGCATTTGGAATGAAGACAAGACTCAATTTTAAATTAAATCTAGCAGAACTAAAACAAAACTTGTCTGAGACCTTCATCCTATTACAATTCGGTCCTCTCTTCCAGAATAAAGTAAAATAACAATAGAGCAGCTATAGAAAATCGAGATAAACTCTCCCTTTAGTACAGTGCATTTGTTAAGGAGCAAACGTTCCATTCCACGAAATACATTATCCCATTTGTATTGTAAGGGCAAACAATCAAAATAATGAAATCGAAACTGAAATTTGGGTCGTTGTGCCTTTGTAGACAAGAACGTGGGTTAAAATAAAAATCGGATTTTTATTTCTGCGATCAAAAGCGTCTTTACACTTAAATGTTAGTTTTGCATTCACAATTTAAACGAAGATGATAATAATATTTTAGTTGAAACAAGTGACCTCCATATTCACTTTATTAAATTAAAAAATAAAATATGTATGAAGTAACTAAATCTTAATTCAATTTTTTTACGAATTTGAATCTTATCGTCTTCACAAAATGCGCAAACTACACGCTTGGCCAATATGTTTTATTTATATTTGGATCAAATTCATACCAATGTTTTTTTCTGAAAGCTTATTCAAGCTTTTTCATTTAACGTATAAATGTATGGAAGATGATTACCTACTACTGACCATTTAATTAAGTACCTAATAATTATGGGGTATACCTACTACAAATAACATTATGTCAATCTAAACTTATGTGTTTTCTAGCCGGTATGTTCATTTACAGTATGATGCGCTTCTTCTTCTTATCGTGTCGACAATAAACCTACACAATGTCAGCCGAAAACTCAGCTACAAGAATGGCGTTGTCAGTAGCATTCATTAAATCATCCTGCATGCAGTTGTTTGGGCACGCAGGGTACGACATCATGTGCTTCATCGACTGGGGAACATAACCGCACCTGCACTCCATATTTGAGCCATCCAAGAATCCCCACCAGACCAGATTGTCCTTACTACGGCCAATCTGCGTCCGAAGGATGATGATAATCCGTATGATACGCTGTAAACTGTAAATGACATAATTATTATAGTACATTATAAGTACTATTTAATAGAAAGGTAAACAAGTATTGCATAGGCTTTTAACATGATTGCAGTAATCACGCCGATACATTAGGCCGATGTCACACCGCCCCGGGCGAGTTAGCGAATTAGTGACGTGCACCACGTTTAGTAATGCGCCGAATTAATGCGTGTGGCAGATGGCCGAAACTGTGCCATGCTTTCGATAATGTTTTCATATTACCTACCTGTATTTGGCAGAGTACGTTTTCAATTTTCAATTCGTACAATAATTAAGTTTATTAAAATCACAAATATATATAAATAGGCATAGTTTTGAGCTGTATTCTTGTATCATAGCTTACAANTCAGGATATACCGCTTAGTTGAAAAGTTATTACGTTTTCTTTACAATAAGTAATTGGAAGAAAAAAATTCTATAAAAAATTAAAAAAAAATCTCAAAAATTTTTTGACCTCTTTTTTGTCGATAAAAATAGGTCTAGTTTCATCTATTTTCATATGTACACTTTAACGTGACTCACACTGTATATGCAGTTAACAGATTTTTTTGCATCATTTGGCAATCAATTTTGTCCTAACCGTAATGCTTTCTGTCATGCTGCATGTGGCTCAATCTTTAGCTTCAAGTACGAATGAGACCTAAAATGCCTGAAGCCTGAAATATTAATCTGAGTAAGCTTTAAGTCGGATTAAATGGAACTGCATTTACACGGTTAAGCCTAGCTTACCTTAGGACAAGCGCGGCGTAGACGTTGTCACGTTTGAGTGCTTACTGCTAAAATTTTAATGCATTTGGAGACTATTTGACTATTTGAGCACATGGGAAATGAACGCTGAGTGATACATTTGTGGAATATAATTCGTCCCATGAAGAAACGGTGCTTTGTCGATAAAACTTGACTAACTATTGACACGAATAGTCATATGTGTATAGAAGCAGGCAATAACCTCATCTTATGTTTGTAAACACCACGCGAAAAAATTCAATCGGCGAAATGATTCAGTACTTTTAGGAACAAATTACAAAACATCTTTTATCAACTAATACAGACAAATATGATGTTACATAGAGCATTGTTCTATGAATCACAGTCATGTACAAGTTACACTGAAGACTTTTATCGAGTTTCAGTATTGATTGATTGTTCATTTATAGGAAACTTGTAAAACATTTAAGCTATGATTGAAGAAGGCATGAGCATTTTCTGAGACGTAGTTCTGAGCATAAGAATTTATCAAGATAGGCGGCGTTGATGAATGACTAAATCTATTCAGTCTTTCGTCGCCTAATTTTGAGTGATTGATAGAGTACTTTTAGAGCGTTTTACAGCAAAGGTAACATTTCTGATAAATTAAATTAATGAATATAACAAGGTTTATAACTATTTATTTCAAATCCTCAATGCAAATATCTAACGTTATTTGATTTTGACGAACCACATTGAATTTACAACTTAAATTCAGTTATATTCAGAGTAATATTATCTGAAGACTTTTCCGAGGAAACTTCTCTTATCCGAGAAAGCTCTCAAGTTTATGACTTATTGAACACAAAACTTGGTGCTGAAAGTTTTCTTTTATTTGCATTCAATATGATATGGAATGAACTTACGGTATAGCATTGCTCAGAAGTATATTGTAACCTTACAGTGCATTTAGTGACCGGTATGCATGCAGATTTCGTGCATAATGTAAATGAAATGACTACGCGACTATTCCCACTTCTCGTTCCCATCGCTGCAACACATAAGAAGCCAGGATCTACAGCTTTACCGCCAATAAAAACTAAATCAGTAAAGGTCAAGTGAAATTACTAGTATGTACTAGTTGGTTTGCTGATGGCAGGCATTCCCTGATTGGGTTGGTATTTTGGTAACGTATTGATACTGTGTCGTCTTTAGTGCCATTTCTGTGAATATCCGTAACACAGAGGCCGTACCAACACAAATGTGACATCACATTGATACCAAATATCCAACCCAAACATGAGTAGTCCAAGTTAGTGACATGTACATTACATACCAATAAAGTAATTCATATCAATGACCAAAGACAATTTGTAGCAGTTGCACGATGACTGACCATAAAATACGTGAGCAGCTGACAATTGCCGCAAATTATATTTATTTCTGAAATTAGAAAAGTTTTATGAAATTGTAATTAGGTATTTTTGAGAGGCAGGTTGCAAAAAGTAGGAATAATAGGTACCAATAATAATCCCTCCCTTTTTATTCCAGAGCTAATTAAAATTTTAACTGAAAGGTAAAGTTTCCTTTCTGGATAACTCACTTGATTCTGTCGGGTATATTATCGGAGTCGGACTCGATAGTGTTGGTGTCTACCCTCATGCTGAACTTCTTGTCGGCGCACTCCACGTAGCAGGGCGGGTGGCAGTTCATCTCTTTCCGGGATATGTGAACTGAAAAAGATTTGATCAATATTTTATTTTGTATTAACTATATCTAAAGACGACGGCACATCCAGCTAAACACTGACGTATCTGATGTCGTTGTATTAGATATTATTTTGTAATCAATTTAATCTGATGTATTGTCGACTCTATTTGTATTTTTCATGTTGTTATAAAGACTAGACTTTATGTCATAGAGTTATAGAAATATACTTAAGTTTTCAATTAATATAGTGAATAGATAGACACGTTATTATCATTTACTTATACAAAGACAAATATTACTTAGGTAAAATTAAATTATTAATTACAAGATACTAGTGATTCTAGATAAATTAATTTCAATTTAAAGCGAATATTACAGAAATCTAATTCAGCTAATTTGAGAAACTAAACATCTGTGTTAAATGGAAATCGTGAGAATTATTTCGGCTATTTCCAGGTATTAAGTAAGAAAGAGCTAATTTAGATTCTCACATTAAGATGATTGTAATATTTTCATTCGCGAACTCACTGTAGGAATAGAGCAGTTCAATAAATGTTTTCATAAAATAAAATTAAAATTAAAATTCATAAAATTCATTTACTTTTGCAAATAGGCTTTTAAAAAGCGCTTTTACACGTCCCAATATTAACCCTACCACTGCTTCGGGACAATAAATGGGCCAGTGCTGAGAAGAAGCAGCGCAAGAAACTCAGTCACTATTGTCAGCCTCCTTTTCAAGGTTTTACAGTCTTTAAAATATACAAATTATAGTCATAAGTATTGATGCGAGCTAGGTAGTTAAACATTCCAAACATTTTTATCTTTTATATAATCATCAACTTTATAGTAGCCCTTTTTCATTAAGTTGCTTTTGATATTGTGCTTTAAAGGACAATGTTCGTTCTCCATACATTGTTCGCCGTTAGATCAACAGTGCCGAAAAAATACTTTCTAGGTTCTAAATGACACAAATCTTTATGTAAGAACAATTATTCCTGGCGGACCAATTCTATAAACTTATTGATAGCAATATTGTTATCATAACCTCTTACTTACTAAGTATTGTATTATAATATTGTATGCACATCGATTTGGGAGATGTTCTGTATTGTAGTTGTCGCAGCCAAATTGTATTATAATATTGGACGGGTTTTGGAAATAGCTCGGCGTTCCACTTTTATGATTTACTTACTTACATTTTGCACGTAAATAAATAACATGAATCCTATGTTTACTTTCCACTCTTGACATTTAACACGTGACTTACCAAACTAACTATCTCCATGGTTACCGTCTTAGTCTATGCATGACTAGGGATTGAACAACTTTTAATTGAATATTATTAACAATTCTCGATAATTTTTATCGATTGAAAAATATTCGGTATTTGAATCGAAAGGTATATTCAATTTTATCAATATCAAAATATTCAATTTTAATAATAAAATAAATATTATTTACTACCACCTATGAAATGTTCTGAAAATTGCCTGGAGCGCTCCCCCAATCCTGGGTTTTCCCTTTCCAAACTGAGAGGACATCATTTTGGTTCTATCGATACATTATAAAGGTAGGTACTTAATATTTGAAATGTATTACCAATTATTGTTATAAGCATTTTGAGTGAATAAAACTTTCAATTCTATTAGAACTTTAGACATTTCTCTCACTTTAAGCGGCATTGGATTTTTCATCGGATTTTGAAACTGTTACAGATATATTAAAGATGATCCCATATTTATGTCATTGTCAATATCAGTATTATGATCACAATTCTTTTTATTTTATTCATGACCTTTTAGACCAGTTGGACACATTAGATAGCTTCTTGTAGTATCGTGCAATATATTTTTAACTTTTAATTAACATCTAGTCATACTGTAGCAATTTGAACGATTTATTTTATTTACAAGATCGGTATCTTATTGTCTATGATGACCGCAATCAACATCACTATTACGTGGATTCCTAACAATGAAGTACGGCATTGCCTTGTGCCGATTTTACATAGATTTTATCGACACAAATTATGGAACTTCATAGGATATGGAGCAGGCCACGCCCTAAAATGTCCGGATGTCGTCATAGTATTATGGAATACATATAAAAGACTTTTATTATTTCATTTTCTAATCCTCAAGTGTCCATTACAATCTAATTAATATTTATATATTCAAAAAGTAAGAGATCAATTTTGATACTTTACTGCTGTGCCCAGGAATCTGAGGCCGTTTCTGACAATGTCCTTTATGAATGGGCAATTCTACAACAGTTTGTGGTAAATGTATGTATAGTTTACAGTGTAAACATTACACGGTGCAACTGTGCTTGAATGACTCAATTTGCAAATTAAATCTTTTTGGAAATAAATCTTTGGACAATTTCACACAGCGCCAGCTAGCCCCAAAGTAAGCAACTTAATGCTTGTGTTATGGGTGCTAGCTTAACGGATATACCTACTACTTATATACTTTTTTTTTTAAATACATAAATATTATACATAGTCACACCCAGACCCGTCACATAAATTAAAATTCATCATTTCAATTTCTGCCCGGCCGGGAATCGAACCCGGGACCTCTCGGCATAGTAGTCCGTTCTGAACCACTACACCAAACGGCCGACGATTGAATCCAATTCAGTTATAGACGGTTGTTCAGTGGCTACCTATATCAACAGTATCGGGTAGTTTAATACGAATTTCCCGTTCAGTGCTACTTTTTGTTTGTGTTTAGTTTTTTTTAAATTTCTTCTAGGTGTACTTGGATGAGCAGCTACGCCCTCAAGATCTCAGGAGAAGGTGGCTCGGTGTGGTGATCTCGTTCAACAATTTACAGTATTTTCGGATTTCAAGTCACAAGAGTCAAGGTAAGTTTTGTTAATTCCTTAATTAAGTAGGTATGTACATTAGAAGTACCCAATTTTTGTCAAAAAATTTTTAGCTTACTGAAAAAGCCAATAAGAACCACTTCCCTCTGCAGCTTATTATACCATTGGCTTAGAAAATGTTTGTACTTACAATATTTACACTTTTATCCTCAAAAAATATTATGATTCACAAACGAACCAGGAAACAGGATAACGAAGCAAACAAAATCTGCTAAACTTCAACAGGGAACCAATTTCTCGGAAACCTAAATAACACGTATCTAGTTTGTGAATTATGTTTCCTCAAGTCCGAGTTGATAAAGACTTAACGAGGTTCAAAAAGTCGACTAGGGTTTGTTACTGGGAAAGTTCTGACTGAACTTTAACTAGCAGTTAGTAAAGGCAGTGTTTTGTTCAGAAAATTAAAATTCCCGGAATATTTTATAAGGCTTGTTAAGTATTTCTCAAGACAGTCTGAGTCAATCATACTCAAGTTGGTATAGGTCTAACTAATATTGAAAACAAACCTGGCACTCGGTTTGATAGTTTAGTAACTAAGTTTCAGTGTTGTTTCATAATTCGAGCTAACAAGAAACTTTACATTTTGTAGAGAATTCATGGAAATAAATCTCCGTTACCAAGTTTTTCAAAGGTGCAAGTCACTTTTGTGCTGGAACTGACGCTATAATTAAATCAAAATTAAACAGTTTCAGGTATCCATTTAATGATAAGTACAAAATCAAGAGCTTCGGATAATTTTATGTACTTACCGGTGACATTGTTTAGACATTTCAAGTCTTCCAACTCGCAAATCTTCTTGGAATTCTCTGCGAAACAACATGTCACTTGTGAATTAAAGGCTCTGGCAGTCAATTAAGGAGTAATTCCTATAAAATATTAAGCAAACTTTATGTATCATCTGAAAATTGGTGATGTCTAGATTTCTAATGTTTTCGATGTTTCTAGAAATTCTAAGTCGATTTTAAGCTGCCTAATTTTGTGCAATTTTAATTACTTTAAGGTTTTTAGGTATTTGTATTCAGACGAGCTATTTTCTGAATGCAGGTTCAAAAATTAGCAATGTTACATTTACATTCCAATAACACTAATACATTTTATTTATATTACATGACGATTTGTATGTAGATTAATAATAATGCCCACGATGTTATTAATATTAATAGAAGAATATTTAACGGAGCGTTTTCTGGAATATCTAATAAAAAGGAATCAAATCAAAGACACAAATATCTCTTTTCGCAATGCCTTAAAATAGACGCACAGGTTTTATAAGATTGAAGTAGGTACATATTTATACAATATGAAATACAAGACCATCAATTGAACAAATTCGACTCAAAATGACTCTTACAATGTTATTACAGTCCAGAGCGATCGTAATATGCGTAGCATGATTCTTGTAACAAAAATATTAAACAGGCTGTTGATTTCTGTGTGGTACACAGAATCTAAAATATTCCAAGAGGAGCCCACTCGAGGTCCCAAATGTCGAGGTCTAGGTTTGAACGTGACTGAATTATAGAGTTTATTAATAGCTTAAACTAGGGCTTTATTTTTTACTAGCGGCCGCCCGCGACTTCGTACGCGTGGATCCCGTTTTACCCCCTTCATCTATCTTACGCGGTTTAGATTTTTTCATACAAATGTTTTTTCTCGCTAACTCCCGTTCCCGTGGAAATTTTGCAATATCCTGTTGTAACTAAGCTTTAAGTTTACTAAGGTACCTGCATGCCAAATTTCAAGCGTCTAACTTAAGCGGTTTAGATTTTTCATACAAAAGGATTTTCCCGCTATTTGCCGTTCCCGTGGGAATTTCGGAAATACCTTGTTGTAACTAAGCTTTAAGTTTATTAAGGTACCTACATGCCAAATTTCAAGCGTCTAACTTAAGCGGTTTAGATTTTTCATACAAAAGGATTTTCCCGCGAATTCCCGATCCCGTGGGAATTTCGGGAATTCCTTGTTGTAACTAAGCTTTAAGTTTACTAAGGTACCTACATACCAAATTTCAAGCGTCTAACTTAAGTGGTTTAGATTTTTCATACAAAAGGATTTTTCCGCTAATTCCTGTTCCCGTGGGAATTCCTAAGTATCCTATAACCTGCCCAGGAGTATGAAGAATAATTGTACCAAGTTTCGTTAAAATCCGTCGAGTAGTTTTTGTTTCTATAAGGAACATACAGACGGACAGACGGACAGACAGACAGACAGACAAAATTTTTACTGATTGCATTTTTGGCATCAGTATCGATCACTAATCACCCCCTGATAGTTATTTTGAAAATATATTTCATGTACAGAATTGACCTCTCTACAGATTTATTATAAGTATAGATTTAGCTAGGATATTGCAGTATGACGTATCAGAAAAAAAAACTATCGGTTTGGTTACTACACTAGACTTTACCAACCTTTAGGATATTTGTAAGGTATACACCCGCAATGGTCCACGTAAGTTTGCATCTTACACTCTGTCCGGCAAGTTTCGTGGCTGTACCGATTGGTATGGTCCAGCGTCACCTCGTCGTGGAACCAACACTTTCTCTCTTCAGGATTAACTTTTCTAACAGCGTTGTCGGTTTGGAATATTTGGGGTTCGACTTTTAGATCCAGGCTCTCCCCGGGGATCACGTAATGGTATTTGGTTGTAGTTTCGGGATAATCAAAAGGGTCGCTGACTATAATCTGCAAGAAATACGAGAATGTGGATATTAGTTTTTTTCTATAACTAGGTACACAAGTTACCTAGCCAAACAAAGTAGGTAAAGATTATAACGTGGAGACTAGTTAACGGCCAAATTACTACTCATAAAAGAAGGCCCACGATTTAGGGAATATAAGCTACGTAAGTAGAGCACTTATTAAGACCTAATGACCTTAATGAAATTCGAACGCAACCACGTACCTAATCCGGTTCGAATCGCTAGTCCAGACCATCATTGTCATTTCAACCTGTTCACATTTGATTGTAGTATAGCTACAAAGACTCTCCAAACCACTTTTGTGATCCGTCCACCTTGTAAGTGTTACTCATTCACTCGAGCTATGAAAATTACACTCTTCAGTAAACATTCTCCATTTGCCTCTACCTTTCAAGCCTTATCGGTTATTCGCAGTATGTGCCCTAATACTTGCTTAATTTAGTATTAACTTCAGACCTTGAGACTCTGAGACAAGATTTAATAGGTCATACCTTAGCTCCGTAGTATGGCAATTTTAAATATGCGGGGTAGTCACCAGGCTCGACGTCAAAGATCACAAATAGGCCGGATAATCTGCAAGAAATTATTTTCAATAAAATCTGCGTGGTATAATCATTCATACTTGACAACATCGTATCGAAAAAACTGGACTAATCGTAAAATCGAATAGCAATTGAAGATAGATACGCCAATTCCGATCTATAAATTATGGATATAATTTAAAATCAAATCTCTGGCCTCATTCATTTTAAATTTTCAGTTATTGAATTTTCAAATCATTGTTATTGGACACGAGCGTTATGAAACTCATTACAGATACTTAGGTAGGTACTGTTTTCATAATTTGCATAATAGTAATTAGGTAATGACGTGTGTTATATTAAGTTAAATATTCGATTAAATTTTAGTAGTTGTTGTCGTTTTGGCATCTTCCATATCCATTTATTGTATTTTCTTTTTGAAAAGTTACGTAATACCTGCCAAAATCAGAAGTCACGACCATCATTCGTGTGGATGGCCCGGTCCCGTCGTTTTCCTCGTCGTAATAATATTCGAAGTCTTGGTCCTTTTCCATGAGGGGACTGAAAGAAAATCCTACTCGGTCACATCAATATTAATATTGTGGATCTAAAGCCCACTGCCCACTGATTTCATATGCCTGCTTGCAACTTGTATACTAAGCACAGCATAAGGTACACAAAATTCATAATTTATTTGGTGGGAAGGCTGCCTTATAAACACGAGTGTGGGCTGTCAATTGCAGAAGATGACGTAGGTCTCAACCTTATAATTCAACAAAGATTCATGTAGATATAGAGATAGATAATAATACCTTTCGAACTCAATATTCTTGGCCCACCCACAAATGTGGTAGCGGGTCGACTCGGATGTAGGGTCGGTGTGTTGATTGAGGGATATTAAATTACACAGTGCCTGCTGTAGTGCCTCCGAACCGTATGTGTTACCGCTCAGGTTTTGTAATGCTTCAATCACACCAACGCGTGCGGATCGCCATCGCCGGCGCGATCATAGGCCAATGACGGGTCACGCGGACTGTCATGGGTCGCACGACCTGTCAAACGTGTGTTGGTGTGGTTGACGCTTATGTGACACGCTGAACTTCTCACTACTACCTGTGTACTGTACTGTGTAGGTACACAGAATACATAATGGTAGCAACTACTACAAGTAGCGACGAATATTGAGTCGTTTACGAACTATGCCACCACTCGAGATGATATTTGTCTCTAAGGTGAGTTAGAGAAGGTGACAGGGCAAAATAGTTGTGAACACCTCAAAAACTAAGTTATTCTAATAACGGGTGTACAATTTTGCATTGTTAATGCACAATAAATTGTAAATACATTTTCTTAAAAGGAAACGAAGCAGACAAACTATTCCTAAGAGCCTTGAGTACATTACTTAAATCTATTCAGATTTTTATTACTCGTCTACACTTATAGAAAAAATAAAAAAAAACCTTACGACAGACAGACTTTCTGTTACATAAAAGACCTCGTTGACAAACAAAATCGATTCCGAGCTTCAAAGGGTAGATATTACGAAATCCATTCCGATTTGAAATTCGCTGTCTCATACCGGATAAATCTTACATGAAATAAAATGTGTTTTTTGACATAAGAAGAGAAATAACATAAAATAAGTTCTGACGTTGGGCGTAAGGGTTCGCCTGTAGCCTAACCTTTTTGGAAAAATCTCGAAAAGTCAGTCAGTTGCTCAGCGAAAATTTTTATTCCGTAGATTATTTTCCAATGTTAGTTATTTGAGGCACGAAATCTGTGATTTTTTATAACAATAAATAATTTGTAGTGCGCAAAATAATTACTTATTATTCCCATACCGCTCCTGGTAAGCTTATGGGCTCACCACTATAATCCAATGGTCGTGTAGGAATTGAACTACCGATCCTAGAATAGTCCGATGCCGACTTTTGGGACGGTTTCACAACGTTCGATCGGAATCTGTAAAAATACGCTCTGGACTACACGTAGTACAACGTGTATTTCTAGGGGAGATCGAGGTGAGTTATAATAAAGGAGATGTTGTGACATTGTCGATTTTTTTAACTTTTAACTACTAGCGAGCTCGTAACAGTGCGCGTTTTTTAGTTCCAGTGTCGAACTACCAAATACGCGCTGTTGCGAGCTCGCTAATTAGGGTAAGTCCAGGATAGATGCCCCACTTTTTGAAACAGCTCTGTAACTCAGAAAGTTTTTATCAACAATTTGATCTTAGTATCTGTACCTAATAGGTTTCCATAAATCGCCAATGACACAACTCTCCTTGGTCTCCTCTATGGTAGGTTACGCACTAGATCCCATTTGCGTCATCCGATTTCTCTAGATAGAGCTTATTAGACCCTTACATTGACGGTTTTAGATTTGGTAGTGCGAAACTGCCTAAGCTCTAAAATAAATACCATATAGATACATACAAAGCTGGGCACCGTTAATTAAATAGTTAACTTTGTTAAACGTTAAAACGTTGCATTTCAGAAGATTTAATGCAAGGTAATGTCAATTGATAATGCGTTAACACGTGATAAAAATTGCATTTTTTAAATCATTAAAATTTCTTAGCGAACAGATTCGCTTCTAAAACTAAATTTTAACTAAACAACTTGAAAAAATCGAACTGCCTAAGGCGGAAGAGCAGTCGCCCGACAAGCGGAAGGTCATGGGTTCGAGTCCCGCCTAAGACAGTTCGATTTTTTAAGTAAGTAGTTTATTTAAAACTTAATAGTTAACCCGTAATAGAAATGTTCACTTCGTTAATTAACGAGTTAATGCCCAGCTATGCATAAATACACCCTGGAAAGCAAACAATGTATATCAACTCACTTTTCGCTGGTGTCGGTGACACCGCCGTAATTAAACGCACAACAATGGCCGTCCGCCGTCTTGATCATATAGAACAGGTTCTTGCAATCCTTCTTCTTTCTGTTGAACTCGCAGTACAGCAGCAGGTCTTCACATTGTTGGCGCACCTGTTGTTGCAATGCGGAGAAATAATTTAGAAAATCTAATAGAGCAAGTATTTAAATCAGATGTGCGTTTGTAACTGAACAATCAGATGGAATTATGAATAAACAACTTGAAAAATCGAACTGCCCAAGGCGGGAATCGAAGCCATGATCTTTCGACTGCTCTTTCATCTGAGCTTCTTAGACACTGGAAGCGACTCTAATCGCTATGTTTTATTAACCAGATGGAATACAACAAGATGCACGATTTAGGCGGTATTATCGAAAATTAGTTCAAAATAAAAAAGTAATTATGTATTAGACAAGGTTAGTTATTGGTATTAAATTTTAAACTATTGCTTAAATAACAATAACTACTAAATTGTAAGAAGACACTAAATTAATTCTACATTAGAAGCATAACTTTAAATAAATCACAAATAATTGAAGGGGTGAGCGGACAAAGGTGTTATCTGACAAAACTGAAGAATCGACTTTTTTCCATGAACATAGGTTTTATGTGATGATAAAATCGACTAATGAGCTCAAAACACGCAATTTTGTTACGTGTCAAATCTTAACAAAGGTGTTATCTGGCAAGCATTCTTACATTCCAGGATTCAAATGTGGTATGAGCAGATTAACATTTTCAAACACTCCTAACTAATTTTGTTAGTTAAGTCCTTTGTCCACTCACCCCTTCAATTATATTTTAGCTTCCTACCTCAGACATAATAGAATCTATAGTGTAATAATGATGTTTCAGAATATTCAGGATTCTCGTGTAGTTCCCAACCAGCGTGCTATTCACTTGAAAACTTGTCAGACTTCGCAACGCTCCGAAGAAGCCGTTTATTTCAGCTTGAGGTATTTTATGGCTCTTCCTAGAATTGAGAATAAAAACAACTACCTACTAATAAAATCAAAAATTAAGAAGTGTAGTGAAATTATCAATTTAAACTAAATCTTTAGTTTGTCTTCATGGAAAGATGAGAGTTTTGTGAGATTTAAGCCTTCAAAGGCTGAGTTGCACTACCTAACTATAACGGTAACTATGACAATAACCGGTGCGTTTTGTATGGAGCTGGTCAAAGTTAAAGTAAGATGGTGCGACCCAGCCTAAGAATTGAAACAAAGAAAACTAATTGTGTCTGCTATGATTATCGTTAGCTACTGTAGACTTAGGCTGAGTTGCACCACCTAACTTTGACCGTAATTAAGGCGATAACCGGTGCTTTTTGTATGGAATTCGACAGATTTTTGACGTTTGTCAAAGGTAAAGTAAGATGGTGCAACCCAGCCTTAATATTGTAGATGTTATGCCCGTTTTCACCATTGATCTCTTATTTTTAAGTGACCCCTATGGTAACACATAAGAGGAATTTTGTTTTCATATGGGTCACTTAAAAATTAGGGATTGATGATGAAAACGGGCAGTATATCTAACTAACTAAGTAGATGCATCTATGTCGTAATCAAACGCGTTTAATTATGCTATACAAATGAAGGTTTACGAAATTGTTTAAAGTGGTAACTTACAACAGTTTTTCAATATCTTTTGACTCTCTTTTGGATACCATGTTGAAATTGCAAATGCTGACTGCTGGAAACGGAGCTTGACTCACGTTACAGGTAGCGTCTATCTGTAAAATAAGTACGCCAAAGGTAAAATTGCGTGAGATGGACTGACGATAATATCGCACACCTAGATCTAAACTGAGACAACTCAAAAAAGGGCATTTTTCAGGAGGCGAAAAAAACGTATTACCAGGCCTGGCTCATTCCGCGCGGTACATCCGATAATTACCTACAGCGAAGCGCCCCGCCGGCGGGTATTATATCAGTCGAGTGTCACGCGCGCGCCCGTCAGGACGCTGGCGTGCGTTGTAGTACCTAATTCTATGATCGAAGTATTATTACAAAATGGACATAAAGAGAAAGAAATATTATTGTGCGGTGTTCGGGTGTTTCAATTCGAAAAGAAATCTACCGGATTTATCTCCTTTTTCGCTTCCCAAAGATGCTGAAAGGTATGTTGGCCATGTAGGTAATCAATAATTCTTAGGATAGTATAGGAACCTAACCTACCATGACTACTGCTCAGAATGTGTTCGTTCGTTTCAGCAAATTAATGACGTCCACTGCTGGACAAAGGCCTCTCCCAAGGTTTTCCATAATGAATGCGTACTTACCTACATACGTACCTCATTACAAATAAGTATATTAATTATTTTTTTACCAGACACTACTAGACAGCAACCCTAACAGCGTAAGAAGAGTTCAGAGGCACGCGATAGAAAGAGACAAAACTTGTAGGTGAATAAAATTGTAGGTACGTAGTGCTGTGCGAGCTGAATTCCACTGTATCGCGTCGTAGCAAGACTCGCATTTATTTAAATCGTCTTGCGGAGTAATCCTTCTGTACCTGTACTATTAAAAACTACGCGTTCTGTATAGAAAAACATTGAATTGAAATTTGTTTCAACAAAACTACGCCAACTAGAAATTCACAAGTTGATTCATCAAAACAAACTCAACTCAAAATAGTAACAAAATATAAGTTACTTTATCAAACAAAACTGGAACAAGTCAAAATGATCTGGTTGACTATTGCAGAACAATTCATCAATACTGTTACTACTCAAATTAACTCATTACATATTTTCTGCTTAACTGTAACAAATCTAAATATCCGCGTTTTCGTTTATTTTAATACGTGCACTCTCTGATACTAGCGAAGGTCAACTGACAAAACGCTTGTTTAGGTGGAAGGGGTTGACAAGCGTTGATTCAACAAAAGTAAGTTATCGCCATCTAGCGGCAAATGGATCAAGGCTTTATTAAACCTGTTATGTTGGAAAGATGCGTATGATAACCGAGTATTTGAATACAAGCATAAGTCAAAATTGGCAATTTTTGAGTTGTCTCAGTTTAGATCTAGGTGTGCGATATAACAATCTAAAGAAGATAGGTGGGCAAGATGAAAAAAAAACTTAGTACCTATCTAGCATCAGTTTACAAAAGCAGTAAAGAGCTATTGACTGATATAAATAAATTAAAATAATGTAATTTAAAATAATAATTTAGTACTTACTGCAGTAACAATCTGGTTGTCATCGTACTTCTCCTTCGCTATAATGATGAAGATGGCGGTAAACAAAATGTTGCCAACGAAAACAACCGACCAGCCCACCACGCTTCTACCACTCACATTGGTAAAGTGGTTGGTGCCATGTAGTGTTGTGATGTCTTCGATTACCTTCTTCAAACTTTTAACGAAAACCGTCTGCTTAGTTTTCTTCTTCTTATTCATCTTTCTCCTGAGAAAAAAGAACAGAATAATCAAATTAAATACAGAGTTTTTAATACGAACGGCACAATTTGGGCTTTTTTTGTGTTATGAATTGTTTTACTTAATAAATAGTCACAAAATCGAAGATTTCAAGAACAATATTTTACCCTAGTTATGAAATGAAACTGACAGCAACACACAATTAATTAAAATTAGGTTTCTCAGATCCATTAGCCTACACCTTCCCAAGTCTATCAAAATTATTAATTGCTCTAATTACAATGTTTGTACTGAATACAATTTGAAGTTTTTCAGTTCAACTCTACGCCCAGATTAAGCTTTCAAGACAAAAAAGTATTGTGCTTAATTGTAGGTACTTCATTAATATAATAGTTGGTATGATTATTAAGAACCATTTCACAAAAAATATTGCCGAAAACTAAGTATGTTTCCTAAATGCAATGTTCAATTATACTCGTATTTCTCATCGCCAACAGTCTGTAATAATTAATTACGAGTATAGTTATTCATCAATATTTCATAACGACAAAGATATTTACTGTCTTTAATTAAAAACAAGAAATTACGGCAGAAGCTGAAAGGTCACGATAAATTGTCGTTATTAAAATTTTCCATCAACAAAAGTTTTTAATCGAATTTTTGATAGCTAAACTCGTTAGTAAGGTTCGAGACTGAAACAGCGATTGGATTTCTTCATCCTCGATATTTTAATTAGCCTTTTCAAATACGAAATATATTAATTTTTTTTGCCACTTTTTATTGAAAGAATTTTGATGATTAAATATTTATATTAAAGTTAAAGGTTCGGTCCGCTAAGTAATTCGATTTAAAAGATGCTCTAAAATCTTAAACCACTTTAAAAACTAGGCATAAATCTATTGTCTGAGCTGGGAATCAAACCCACGACTCTCTGATTGCCAGATAACAGCTTTTATTGCTGAGTCATTGGAAATTATGGACAAGTTGTACATTTTAAATTATAATTTATCAGGTGTAAAATTATTTGTAATCAATTACCTAAATCACATTATCATATCACGTTAGATATCGCTAAAATACCAACTGTTTAGTTATGGTAAAGTTATTGAACATGAGCTGACTATGTAAGAAAAATTCGTAAGTCAACCATAAATACACATTAACATACTAATTTATGTGTTACAAGTAAATAGTTGTTACTTACTAATGACATGTTGTTACTCCTCTACCAGAAGATACAAACAAAGGTGAAATGTTGTACTTCCCCCAACCAAAACATTACACTAATTAATAGTGAACCTCGTTCAACACAACCGACGGTATAAATCAACGCTTTAAACAAAATTGGTTTAAATTGACTTGGAAAGCACAAATTACTTTTAAAATTATCAGTGCTTAAAATATTAATTGGACCACACATTTTGTACTTATGACATAGAATAAGGTGGGGCACAATGTTACACGGGGTACAATGTTACAATGCATATTTCTCCGTCCCTTTCTATTAAGTAGTTGTATGATGTTGGTATACATGTTTGTCAAGCTCATAAGAGCTGCTGAACTGAGCCGCTGAACATCATACAACTAATAGAAAGGGACTGAGAAATATGCATTGTAAAACATTGTACCCCGTGTAACATTGTGCCCCACCTTACCCTACTTTATAGAAGGATATTGCGTAAATGTTGTTTTTTGCCTGAAAAACACTTTACTTATACTGTTAAATTATTGTATCTTTTTTGTATAAAGTATCATTATGTTTATTAACATTGAAGAGTAAAATTCAATTATTCATGAAATGCGGGCCATTTCTGAGTGCGGTGCTGAGTAAATTAAATAAATAAATAAATAAATAAATAAATAAATAAATAAATAAATAATAAAGTCTGTCTTCTATTTTATTTAGCCCACTACTGCTGGTAAACTTCATTAATCTCGATCCAAAATAATAGGGATTTGCCGATCCCAGATATAACCAACGTAACTATCTAATTCTAGATTATCACGTCAGTTTTTCTATGATTGCCCCTTTATCGACTTTATAATTGAACATCGCATTTGCATTTCTTGAGTAAAAATAATATCAAAAAATTACATTCAAAGAAGGTACCTAATAAACCAATCCATTTTCAGTAAAAAAATCTCTAATTATTTTTGGAGAAAGTATAATCCTATGGGACTCAATAATAATTTGAGAAGATAGCATTCTTTGCTTTCTCAATTAAAACTTTTGATGGATTTGGTGTAAAAGAAATTATGTTTACGTTTCTTGTTCAAATTTTGGTATTGTAAAATCTCATTTGCCTTCTATTATAGGTATAGAATAGAATAGAATAATCTTTATTGCCAAAACTGTATACAATTTGTGCTGGTCACAATGCAAAAAAATAGTTACTACAACAGTGTTACCCATATCGGGCATGCAATAGTTAAAATACAGTAATAAAGTTATAGTTTAATTATTTTTGGTACCTACCAAAATATTCATTTAGACTATAAAAAACAAAAAAATTCTTCATCGATAATGTCTGAAAAAACTGTAGGTACCTATTGGTTAATAAGATAATATTAAAGTACATTCTACACTTTTAATCTATGTTATGTTTTACGATAGTGGTGGTTAGTCTCGCATAATTAAAACTGGAATTGAATTCAACAAACTTTCTTTCAAATGAGTGAGCTGATGGTGTTTTAATTACAAATCACTTTCAGCATTTCTTTGTTTAGTAGAAGACAACAATAAGTGAGAAAACCGACTTCGTATTGATAATCAGGTAAATGGATTAGTTTTTTTTATTGAAACCTACAAGAGCTTTAATGTTTGAAAATTAAATTATACATAGGTAATGTAAATAGTAAAGAATAAGACTTCATTTTTTTTGCAAACATTTTCCCGTTATTGACGAATGCTAAATGAAAGTAAAAAAAATCGTTTTTTCTTCTGTGGTGTGGTCAACGCCAAAACTCGTCCTGTTAAAGTAGGCACCAGACACACATTGATATCTACTCGAATGATAGGTTTGACATCTACCCAATTGACATGCCTTTTATGTTGCGTTACATTATCTCAAATTTTTTTTCTCAGACGACGTGTGATGTGTGTACTCGCATTGACAAGAAAAAATGTTTGCCATTAAATTAAAATAGAGTTTTTCTGTGTAAATATGCCTAAAGCTCAATTATTAACTATGAGTGGAAAAATAAAGACTGAAATATTTCGCTTGTGATAATTTCATTATTTTAGAATTTTTTGTAGAATTGCTTTTTTACCTTCCGTTTCGATAGGCTTTTAATCTTATGTTTTAATGAATTGCTTACCCCAAACACATGCCTAGAAGCTAAATGAACACTTAAAGTTTTATTGCGCGTAAAAAAGCTTTTACCAGGTTTTAACATGGCTTTGGAGATGCCCACACTGCTCAGGAGCAATTACACTAAGAACTTTCACTGTACAATTACTCTAATTAACCAAATCAGCAAAACGTTACTCATTAGAAAACTCTAGATTGGAAAAGGTGATCAAAAGAGTCTGGTTTTTGACCCTCGAAGCTTACTAAGAAATGAACTTGTTAATTACTGGAAAAATTCTCGTATGATAACAATTATGTAGAATGATTTTTGTTAAAAAATTCAGTCTTTTAATTTGTTCCACGTTTTCACAAATTAAGTATTCGTGACAAATCCACCGAAAGCTATAACAAATGGTTTTTGCTTCACCTTTAGCTCATAGCAGACTTATGAACCTGGAAAGGGATCAACACTGTATCGCCTTTCGCGAGCTATCAATTGCGAGGCGAGGCGTTTACGTTACGGTGCGGATAAGTACGTTTTATAGTATGGAGTTTCACAAGTACAAAGAATACTGACCGCCCCGAGTTGATACGTTTACGATTCCTTTCCGGGTTGACAAATGTGATACGTCCTTATAAACATCGGGCTCCATCAAACGATGTCCATTTACTTTTTCAGTGACCATGCGTCAAATAAAAGAAATTGCCAGCACGAAGTTCAAAGCGTTCTGCAAGCATAGCACGCTCCACGGCGTGTACTATTTCTACAAGAGCAGCAGATGGTCCGTCCACCTCATATGGATCACCATCATCATCGTCTGCTTGATCCTGTGCACCTTCCTCAGCCATATGATTTGGATGAAGTTCGTCATCGATCCTACTCTGACTGTCGTAAGTTATGCTTGATATTTTACTTGCTAAAAATATTAGGTGCCTTAGGTGGGATTTAAATCATGACTATTGCCAACTTAACTAGATGGCCTTTCAAATCGTAAGCCCGTTGCCCAAAACGTTGACTGTTGAGTAAATGATGCACCATTAAACAGATTTTGCCTCGGAGCTCTTGGTACATTGATTAATAACATAATACATCACTTGATACACAACTTAATATCTGTACTGATAAGCTTAAAGGCTGACTGACATAAACTTTAGACCATAATAATCATACCTACTATCCAAACAACATTTTACTACTTACCTACTGTAAAAACTATGCTGATTCATTTTCTATAATGATCGGTTAAAAATTAACGAAGGAACGAAACAAAGGAAAAAAGGAAGAATTTAATCAATCGTATTTCCTGCAAGAAGTTGTTTCAAAGTAATAAAAATCATCTCTAAAAGAATTCCTTGTCACGCAACATTTTTATAGTTATGGATATCAAAAAAATATTATAAGACGCCTTTTTAATACAATAAAGGCAATAACATAAAAAGAATCCCAAGTTGAAAGCGACAAACTTATGAATCTTAGATCCAAACTCTGACCAGAGTCAAATTGAATTGTTTCCAACTGAATAAAAATGTCTACCGAATCTTCGAGAAGTTGTTTGTGGATATCTAAGTCTTAAGGATCAGAGGTGAGAGTGCTTTTTTAAAAGTAATGTACGGCACCAGCAGATATCGATTTATTACATAACCGAAACCAATAATTCCACAAATCAAATTAACGTAATAAAGAAATATGCCTATGGCAGAAATAATGATCTAGGTCACAAATATCACAGT